TTTTTCTTATATTATGTGCTATTATAACAATTCCCAAGGCTTGTTAAGCAAATTTTGATTATATCTGACCTACCATTACTTTATAATATTGTCAAGCCATATACTGATATTATGATTTGTAGCAAAATGATAGATTTATTATAACTTGTAAATTAGACTATAGAGTTTATTTTTTTCCATTTGGATCTAACAGAAATGTGTAGAAATTTTCCACTGTGCTGTGTGAAACGCAGGGAAGTATATAAGCAATTTAATATTAATACATTGCAGTATATTGTCTAAGATCATTGTTAAGCCAGACCATTACACACACACACACATATACAACAGTCATTGTCCAATATTGTCAATGAAACTAGTATTATTGCCATATATTTTGAATTGAGTAAAAGCCATATAATAAATATAAATTGTTTATATACTTTTAGAAAACTTCAAGTATTTTCAATTTCTAAAAATATAACTTTATTTCTCATTACAATGCATTATAATATTCTAACGGAGCTTAATGTATGTGTAATATTCAAAATAAAATTTCTATGCATAATCTAATCTGTATAACTAACTCTGAACTTAAATTTTTCATAGTTGTAATTGATTTGTTTCATTCTGTGTTTAAACTGTGTCTTGGTTAGTGTTATTCAGCTTTTAATTTTATTGTTTACTGCATCTAGAGCAGGGGTCCCCAACCTGTGGGCCGCGGAGGAGATGGCCAGTGCACACGCACATGTGCATGCACTCACCCCCACACACTCACGCTAGCCCCGCCCCGAACATCCCGCCTGCATAGCATCACCCTGTCCCAAGCATCCCACCAGCACTAGCACTGCCCCAAGCATCCTGTCAGTGCTAGCACCACCCCCACCCCAAGCATTCCACCGGCATGAGCGCTGCCCCGAGCATTCCACCAGTGCTAACGCTGCCCTGCCCCGAGTGTCCCACCAGCACTGGTGCTGCCCATAGTGTCCTGCCAGTGCTAGCACCACCCCATTTGCAGCACTCCCGCCTGCACAGCCCCATTTGCATATGCGCATACGTTCACGTGCGGCTGTGCATGCATTCACGTGTAACCGTTTGCACGTGCGCATGCGCTCATGGCCCATTTGTGCGCACGTGCACAGAGTTCATTTTTATGCACGCATGTATGCGGCCATTTACACTGGTACACATAGTGGTGCTTGTTTTCCTTTCCAGGCCGCCAAATCAAAAAGGTTGAAGACCTCTGATCTAGAGAGTACATTAGAGTTGAACTTATGTCAGATAAATTGCTTTGTGATTCCACTGCATTTTAATATTTAGTGTCTAATTGACTGTACTTGTATAAATTCTGAAATGTGTGGACATTCTTGAACAATTGTGTGATGTTACAATCATAATAAACTTCCTTGCAAAACAGATTTTACATGCTCAATTGAATTTTTAATTATTTACTATGGATTATATGATGTTCAATCAAATAATGTTGGAAGTAGTTTACTGCAACAAAAATGCAACATGAAAATACAACATCATAGCAACGAAACACAGCAACATCATCCTAAGAAATAGCTACATCATCCAATTGATAGCAGAAAGGTTCCTATCATTATTTGGATGAAGGTATAGATGGGAAACTCATCAAATTTGCAGACGACACCAAGCTGACAGGAATAGTCAACACTCTAGAAGATAGGCTTAAGATACAGAAGGATCTTGACAGACTTGAACATTGGGTGCTATGAAAAAAGTAATATTCTACATTTAGGCAAGAAAAATCATATGTGCAGGTACAATATAAGTGGTATCTCCCTCAACAGTAGTAAAGTGAGAGGGATGTTGGAGTCCACGTGACAATCACTTAAATATGAGCCAACAGTGCTACAGTTTCCAACCATTGTTTCTCATCCTTCCCTCTGGTGCTTTGGTGAATAAAGTGACCCCCTCTTCTACGTGGCAGCCCCTCAGATACTGGAATACTGCTATCATGTCTCTCCTATTTCTTCTTTTCTTTAGACTAGCCAAACCCAAGTCCTGCAGCCATTCTTCGTATGTTTTAGTCTCCAGGTCTTTGATCATCTTAGTTGCTCTTCTCTGAATTTTTTCCAAATTCTCAACATCTTTTTTGTGATATGGTGACCAAAATTGGCTGCAGTATTCCAGGTGTGGTCTTACTAGGGTTTTATAAAGCGGTACTAATACTTCACGTGATCTTGATTCCATGCCTCTGTTTATGCAACCCAGGATTATATTAGCTTTTTTTGGCGGTGGCTGCACACTGCTGGCTCATAGTTAAATGATCGTCCACTATGACTTCAAGATCCCTCTCACAGTCACTGTTTTTAAGCCAGGTCTCGCCCAGTCTATACTTGTATCTTTAATTTTTCCTGCCTAAATGTAAGACTTTACTTTTCTCCACATTGAAACTCATTTTGTTGGACAGGGCCCATTGTTCAAGTTTGTCAGGATCTTTTTGGATCCTGAGTTGTTTCAAAGAGCTCTCACATACCATCCTGTTGTCCCCAATTCAGGTCTGATGCCTATGAAGAACACCAGACATGAGGTGCAGGTTTTGTTGTCTTTTATTGAAGCGCTCCAAGAAAAGGGATTCTGGCCAAAATGCCAAGGAACCTCGAACTACAGAATTAAGAAAGCTTTATTCATTTCCATTAAGACAGAAGGCAGGATAAGGTGGGATATATAAGAAATATCATCTAATAATCATTTTAGTAATGATCTATTGGTCTCTACCCATCCCTATTGGTCTCTACCCATCCCTATTGGTCTCTACCCATTATTCTATTGGTCTCTACCCATCCCTATTCCCAAGCCTGGACTAATGAGTTGTTGTTATCTAATACACATTCTATTTGCTGCAAGCCATCTCTATTTCTAACTTTTAGCTGAGGGCTGCAGGATGCCTAACTCTTTGTTACTTTATCAGTTTTCTAACCACCAAGAATTGTTACAAGCTTTACATCTGCATATTCCCTGTGAATAAGCATTCTTGTTCTTGCCAAACTCCACAATTACAAGCTTCCCAATCTCCTTTCAACTATATGCCATAACCTTGCTTTGTTTTGGCATCCAGCCCATCATTCCCCCTCTTTGAATCTGAAAATGATTTAATTTTCCAAGATTCACCCAACACCAAGATCCGTGTACTGAGAGACCCCGTAGTTTACTTATAGGCGGAAAGGCAAAGCAGAAGGCATTGTAATCCACAACAAGTGATTAAGAGAACAATGCCCACCAGGGTCATTATTAACCAGCTGAAATCAGATAACCAGCCAATGCATCAGCCTTCTCATTCTTTCATGTGGGGTGGGGGGGTGCAGCTATCTTTGCTATGTGTGCAGCTCGGTTTTGGATTTCCTCTGATTTGTCTGTAATATACACACAGCATTGTTGTCCAATTAACACACACACCTCTTTTAGATGCCAATACCATTTCTAGAGCCATTCTATACTGAATTATTTGTCATATAGCTTCTTGTTGCTTTGTTTTTCATCTAGTTTATCATTCCATCTCTCTTTTTTCACTCAGATTATCAGAAAGAGATTTCATGGTCCATAAGGTTTGCATGATTGAATGAACATGAGATAAAATAAATATACTAAAGTTACACTTCTAAAATCACCTGGTATTGTTGAGTGATGTTCACTTTGTTCTAGTTTTGCATTTAAAAAATTCCTATGTTGCAATGAGCAAACCTTGTGTAACATAAATTTGTAGCAAGATCTTTTAGAAGACTGCTTGTTTTTATGGCACATTTTCTAGGTCCCATAAATTCTTAGATTTAAAAGAAGGAGACTGGAGGGTGCCCTTTATTCCTAAATTGTGGTTAGGGATAGATCTCTATTCTTCTAATTATTTGTGATCTGATGGAAGCTGTTTCATCGGGATTATCTGTCAGATTCCCCATTTGTTTTGTTGTATCTTCAGTCATTTTTGTCTGCTTATTTTTATGATTTTGCTTTTTCCCCTTTTTGATTTATTGTGTGTTTATATTGTGTACTGTATAGAGTCACACTGTTTGGGTTAGATGGTCTTATAAATTCTGAAAATAAATAAAGGCAAAATGACAAAGTATTGCAAATCCCACCAATGCCACATAGAAGTGGAGTAGAAACTGTATTATAGCCTCCTACACAGATTTATGGCCAGAAGCAATGGGATACCTAAAGAATAACTATAGAAAGGAAATACATATGCAGCATTTCTGAATAAGCCTGATGGTGTTGCAGACATGTCATGAACTAATTCAGGAAAATGACTTAATTAGCATTTAGGACAAAGTAAACACTGACAGGGGAAATGATTCTCTTCAGGATTGAGAATCTTCCCATTACCTTAAGTCACTTTCCATAATCAGAGATTTTGAAACTTCTACAGAAAGTTTTGCTGATAAAGGCCTTCAGCAGGGAAGAAAAAAAATAGCTGCCCAAATTCTTTTAAAAATTACTATGATTTCTCACGTTTGTATGCGTGTATTTCTGATCGCAGGAACTGGATCGACGGCATCTAGTGAGCTGGGACGACCTTTTCTCTCCTTTAAAGCTCTCGATGACACTGCTAAAGTCGCTAAGGTCACTAGCCTATGGCACGGTATTATTAATGCAGTAATGTCGTTTTGGCGCCATTCCCTTAGGGTGCCTTTCTTGTGGGCAATGAGCATTCTTTGCCTCGAGGGAAGACTGTGGGTCCTTAGGGCCTTTCCCTTCCGCAAAGCACCTTAACCTAGCGGCGTCCTCGTAGGGTACATGATAAATAACCAAACAGCTGAGGTGGCGGGAAGGACCAATAATTTCGGGGTTGCAACCAGAGGGCTCTTTCCTGACTTTCTTGCCCTGGCAGGGGGCCCATCGCCATAGCTGAGGGCTTTGATCGGAGGCTTGTTCCTCCCTCCCTTCGTTTGTCTTCAGTTTTCCTTCGCCTTCCGCCCGCTCCTCCCATGGGGCTGCTAGAACCAGCCGGCTTCTCTCGCTGCCATGGCAACGGCGCCCGGTTTGTGTTTTCCTCAGTGTGAAGCAGTCCTGAAGCCTGAGTTGCAGAGCCTTTCGGAGCCATGGCTTCCCCGGCCCTTCCGGAGGTTTCGCCGATTCTCCCGGTCCCCTCGTTCGGCGAGAAACAAAGGCATTTCTCCTCTTCCTCCAGGCTGGAGCACCCTTCGGACAGTAAGCTCAGCAACGGACTCGAGCAGGTGAGAGAAATGGGCAGCCATAGAGATTGAATTCCCTCGGTTTTTGCCCGGCTCTGGGACGTCTTTTTTAATTGCTTGGGCCATTAGCCGGGGCTGCCGGGGCCCTCGCGAAACGTCCTGTCAAATGCAAAAAGTGGCAGTCAAAAATGCTCTTTTGTGAGTTTTCTACTGCGTTCTACTGCTTTTGTTGCGTTTGAAACTGCCTGAGGGGTATTAAAATTTCCTGACATTTGGAACAATTAATCAATGGAACGACTTGCCTCCAGAAGTTGTGGGTGCCCCCCACACCTGGAGGTTTTTAAGAAAAGGTTGGACAGCCATTTGTCTGGAATGGTGTAGTTTTCTGCCTCAGCAGGGGGTTGGACTAGAAGACCTCCAAGATCCCTTCCAACTCTGTTATTTTGTTATTAACAATGGCTACCTCTTTCTTTCTCTCTCTCCTGGGATTGGTTCTGATGAAAACACTATCCATGTTCTTCTCTGAGGGGACCCAAAGCAGACAATAGATAGCGGAAGAAAATTTAGGCAAGGGTAAATAAAAGTTTACTTTTATTTTGTTGGGTATGATTGCACTTATGCAGGGTATAAAAGCACAAAAGGGGCTTTAAAAAGATAAACTAAAAGTCACGTCAGAATGGGCAGGATGACACACAAGCAGATTGAGGATCAATATTGATTTATTTGTGAGACAGAAACAACTACAGGTAATCCTTGACTTACAACCAAAATTGAGTCCAAAATTTATGTTGCTAAGTGAAACATTTGTTTAGTGAGTTTTATCTCATTTTACAACTTTTCTTGCCACTGTAGTTAAATGAATCATTGCAGTTGTTATGTTAGTAACATGGTTATTAAATGAATCTGGCTTCCCCATTGATTTTGCTTATCAAAAGGTCACATGACCTCAGAATAACTGCAATCGTCATAAATATGAACCAGAGGACTTCATTCTAAGCAAAGACGCCTTTTATTTTTTTAAACACTGAGGCCATATCTTAAGGTACTATAGCATTAAATCTAAGAAAAACCTTTATCTAATCTGAAGGTGCTACCTCCAGGCAAATGCACATGAATGTAACTGTTTAGTTATTCTGGGCCCAAGTGATGAATACCTTAACCTTAAAATGGCTTTCCAAGTTGGATTGGAAAAATGAATAGGAGCCAATCCAGTTAATAACAACAAGGTAACAGAAGGGATCTTGGAGTTCTTCTAGTAGTCCAACACCCTGCTCAGTGATGAGATGTCATTTATAGCATATATTTAAACTACATATAACTGGGCTTACATAACATTGTACAAAACTAAAAGTCTTTGGTTGTTCTTAATCAATTAAGACAATTTATTTTCTTGCAAAGATAGAATAGAATAGAATAGAATAGAATAGAATAGAATAGAATAGAATAGAATAGAATAGAATAGAATAGAGCTGGAAGGGACCTTGGAGTCTTCTAGATCAGCCCCCTGCTCAAGCAGGAGAACCTATACCATTTTAGACAAGTGACTGTCTAGTCTCTTCTTAAAGATCTCCAGTGATGGAGCACCAACGATTTCTGGAGGCAAGCTGTTCCACTGGTTAATTGTCTTCACTGTTAGGAAGTTTCTCCTTAATTCCAGATTGCTTCTCTCTTTGATCAGTTTCCAACCATTGTTTCTTGTCTTACCCTCTGGTGCTTTGGAGAATAGTTTGACACCCTCTTCTTTGTGGCAGCCCCTCAAATACTGGAATACTGCTTTCATATCGCCTGTTTCTTTTCTTTTCTTTGATCATAACAGTTTCATTGATATATCTTTAATTTTATTTTTATACTTTTTTTAACTTATATCCCATTTTTTGCCTTCTAGGGTTTAGATTAAAAACATAAAAAAGCAATTTTAGTGATATTGTGGATGTAATATCGAAACACAAATATATTCCACAAACTTCTGTGTTGATGAAATTAGAGGAAATGCAAACAAAGTATGTAATCACTGGAGATATTACACAGAATATTTTCTAGAAGTTAGGCTAAAAGATGTGTTTATTCAATAATTTTTTCATTTTATTTCCCTTTTGACCAATAAAATATAACCCCGATGCAGAATAGATGTTTAATTATCAGAGGGCAGCAGACCTATGGTATATGGAAAATGCCAGATATTTCCAGTGACATTTAATTTCTTAGACTTCCATTTGTGCATCCCAATAAAAGTCTGAAACAGTATATTTAAGTTCTTATCTTTTTAATGTGATCAAAAACATTTTTATTTTATTTATACTTGTTACAACTGTGATTTCTGATCAAATATATTTTGTAGTAAAAATAGATTAAAATGTTTTAATTCCTAGAATTATTTAGTAAGAACTTTTGAAAACTTTTTATTTTTTTAAGATTAAGTACAATAGAAAAAAAATCAAATTAAATTCAAGAAAAAAAGAATAAAACATGCAAAGAAAGAAAAAAAATAGAAAAAGAGTTTTGAAACATATGTACTCACATTATTTTGCTAAGCAGTGCATTCATAAAGTGCAATGCTTGTGACCACATCACTTTGGTGTATGAACAGTCTGGGTATATGCAAGCACGGGAAGACCAAAGAAAGGTGCATGCTAATGCAAGAGGGCTGAGGAAAGAGGTTGGAGGGTGGCATGCTTGTGTGCAGAAGAACACTATATACATCTGTAGTTATATCACGGGCTTTTTATAGTTTTATCTCAAAATAAATTCTGATATAATTTTTGATAAATGAATATATATATATATATATTACTGCTTCTGCCAGTAATAATAAAGAGCAATTCAATATTTTAGCCCCATGCTTTGATTATTGTAGATCTTCTTTAAGTGTTTACTTCCTCAGCTTAACTTCTAAGGTTTTACCTAGAATTGTTTCACAATTATCTCTGAAAGCAAAAACCATTCTCTTTGAATTTTTTACTGAGACAATATATAAAATTTACAAATACAATTTATTGAAAGTAAAAGAAACAAATTTCTTTTCAGAATTTATAGGCAAACAGGTTAGAAATGGAAGAGTTGTTACCTTCAACAAAGTTACTAACCATTACAATCTTATTTAAATTAATGTTTAAGGGAAATCACTTCATATATGTGGATCTTAATCATGTGACCAAATTGCTTGAAGAAACCGACTCAGTAAGTATATTAGACATAATAAGCATAAATCTTATTTCTATTTATTCAAATAGAATTTAAAGCTAATAATATATTCTGTATATATTATACAGAGTACTTAAAGAAATCCAGAAGATTCTTATTAGCTCTAGCATGATTGCAAATGCATATAGCAAATGCTGTAGTTATAGGATTATGCTGGCATGGTACCTTTGTCTTGCTTACTACTTAAAACTGGTTGACATATTTTTCTCACAGCTAAAGAGTAAGCCACAAGACATACAAAGCAATGCCAGTGACATATTAAATCTTCTGTCTCTTTGAAGAGCAAAGTGTTGCAAATATTAAATACTGTACATATTATTCTCATTCACTCTACCTTTTTTAAGATTATAGAAGAACAAATCCAAGCATGTCAGAAGGTTGCAAAGCACTATGAATATGGAATTGTATCCTTTTTGCTTGTTTTGTTACATGCAAAATTAGAAGCCAAAAAATACTTCTATTCCATGAACAGAAAAAGACAAAATAATAATTTGCTATTTTACATTAATACATAGTGTGCTTATTTACTAAATTACATTGCAATATAATTACAACAATTATATTAATTAATAATTATATTGTAATCATAATATAAAATAAAAAATATACTGTATGAATGAAAATTGGACTACTATTTTCAATTTTTTTTATCTATATTACACCGATCTGGCTGGGAAAGGTCCAAGCCAGTAGGATGTGTTAAGCCTTCAAACCAAAGCTGATCCATACAGTTCATAATCTTAGTACTCTCAATATTAATGTATAGACCACAACAAGAGCCATCAACTTTGTAAGCTAATGTTTCAATGGGCTCCATGTCAACAATACTTCCAGTATCTTGTACGGTACACAAATCTTCCTCTGAGATCTATTTCAGGAATTTCTCATATGCAATCTCATATGCAGAATTTCATTTAAAGTCAAACTCGCCATTCTTTGGCTAAATGTCCAGCATTCAGTAGAAAGTCACTAAGTTAAATTTCTTCCACTGACAATATTGTCATTGTATCAATTCACTTGCAATATAATATTGCACATTCTCTCTTGTTTGAGTACATTTCTGTGAAGTGGAAAGATTACTGATAATGCCAAGTTTTTCAACTTCCTTGCTACATCTTCAAAATCTGTTGTGATATGACTATAACATTATTTGCCATTTTACTTGTCCTGATCTATATTAGCAATAAAGCAATAAAGGATCGTCGATTGGATACATCTTGACAGCTGCTATATCACATTTCTAACCTATATTGCTAAGCAGCAAATTTCACAGGCTGGTAAGTCCAGTCAGCACACATTTATTTCAGTTCTTCATTCTAATGAATTTGCCAAGTACTGCAAATCTTTTTATATGTTGAAGGACACAGCTGCTTTATGTAGGCTGTAAATCACTCTAATCCACAGTTGGCATTTTCAGGTACACCATTGCAATTAGCAGTTGCTCTGGGTGTTACCTTTTCAGCTCTCATTGTGAAGCTTCACACCAGACCATGATAATCTTAGCTCTCCACATTTAACTCTTCTAATTGACCCAAATTGGCAGAAGATTGGCAGACATGAATAGTTTAATTTTTTTTATTGCTGACAAGAATGAAGTCTTATACACAAGAAATGATCTGCCTGCATAGTGCAGTCAGTACTTTATGGCTTAGAGTTCTTATCCAAATTAACAGTTATCTGGTCATAACCATGAGAGGCAGTTGAATTATTTTATAAAACATTTCTTATGAATCTGAGTGATGTTCTTTACTGACTACCCAATTTATCCTTTATAGTCAGTTGAACACACAGTTTCATAAAACTTCCAGTTCTATGGTCATTTCCCTCTTTTTGTTGGGTCTTACTCCTGTTTATTGGCAAACTCCTACTTGCTTTCTCTTTTCAGTTGCTTGATAGATTGTGATATAGATTTCATATATAATAGTAATTTTAAATTTTTATGTGTTTACAAAATCTACTTCTATATATTGTGTGTAGGGCAGAATAGAATAGGATCTACTTCTGCATATTTTATGTAGGACAGTCTCATATATGTAGTTATTTTATAATTGGCAATGGGGGAACATCATACAATCTAGGTTTATTTTGCTATTATATGACCAATATGTCTAGTTTGAATGGCTGATATAACCATTAGAGCTGTCTTTTGCAATCTGGCACACTCCAAATGTATTACGGTTTGTGCAATTCTCAGTAGGTGTGTTTAATAGGCTGTTGTCTGAGAGTAATGAGAATTGTTTATAAATTATTTGGAAAGCACTAAAGATATTTTAGAGTTCAGATTCTGGTCCGCTATTTCCATTATTTTCTAAAATATTATTTGGAGAAAAGGGACCCGAGATTAAGTAACTATTACTATTAGAATTCTGCCACAGAAATTGTTACTAATTTTACAACTAAAGTTTGTAGTTTTGGTTTCTTTGTTTTTTAATTTAAAAGATTATGCAAATTTTTTCTTTCTGTAACTATTTTCCTTGATTGTTACATTATAAGCCTTTGAATGATTTAGCACACATCTCTAAAATTTTAAACTTATGTGTGGAGAAAATTCAGCTGGACAATGTTTTTATAGAAACTACATGTGAAATTCTTAAATTATATGGGTAAGTACTTAATTAATGCTTCTGTTTTATTCTGATATTAACCAGTCTTCTATTTTTAGTGGCCAGAAATAATATGCATTTATTTTCATTTTAGCAAAAGCATAAGGCTTCAACATTTAGAATGTTGTAATTATAACATATATTGGGAAACATATTTCCCACAAATCTATGATTGTGCTAAATAAACTGAGCAAAGATTATAATGTTACATTTCATTCAAAATTAATTTGAAAAAGAAAACCCTCAGTGATTTTAACATTTAAATTACAAAATTAAGATTCAGATATATAAAATCTTTATCTAAATTTGTGGATACAACCTTCATATAAAATTAATGAAAATCTAAGTAACATATAAATCAATAGAAAATGTTTCTATTATATTAGACCCCATACTTTTATTAACAGTTGCAGGTAATTTAATAGCTTAAATAAATTCAATTAGCCCAACATCAAATATCTAGGAACTCAGTTATTTCTGTTTGTTGTCCTACATATCACATTTAAACAGCAGTTGTGTGTTGGTTTTCCTGGAACATAACCAATCATTCTTAGTAAATATTATGGATCTTAGTATATCCATTTATTAAAAGTGCTAAAGGCATTCTCAGTCTTGAATTTTTCAGATGTATTGCAATTATCCTTAAATACATTTAAGATTATGTCTATGCTTTCTCCCCACTTATATTTTTTTACTTTGCTGCCACATAGTGGGCATATACACATTCACTTTTATAATGATGCAGTTGCAAAATCTAAATATTTCATTGCTATTTCCTGAAAAGGAATGAACCAAAGCTTATTACTGTATGTTTGTCTGGAAGCTGTCGGGTCTGGATGGGGAGGAACGGGCTCCAGCTCAACCCATCCAAGACTGAGTGGCTGTGGTTCTCGGCGCCTCGTTTCAGCCAGTTTACTCCATCTTTGGCCATTGGGGGCGAAACACTGGCCCCGGTGGAAAGGGCACGCAACTTGGGCGTCCTCCTGGATACCCGGCTGTCGTTAAACGATCATATGACGGCCGTGGCCAGGGGGGCTTTTTATCAGATACATCTGATACGCCAGTTGCGCCCTTTCCTGGATCGTGACGCCTTGCGCACACTCACTCAGGCCCTCGTCATCTCGCGCCTAGACTATTGCAACGCCCTCTACATGGGGCTCCCCTTGGGGAGCATCCGGAGGCTCCAGTTGATCCAGAATGCGGCTGCGCAGGAGATTTTTGGGGCTCCTAGGAGCACCCATGTGACACCTCTCCTGCGCGGGCTGCACTGGTTGCCTGTGGCCTTCCGGGTGCGCTTCAAGGTGNAATTCTAAAATTTTAAATTGGGTATAATTTTATATTATTATAGTGGGTTTTAGGACAGGACAAATAATTTAATTAGTTTTGAATATTTTTAAATATTATGGTATTGCTGTTTTATTAATGTGCCTGTTCACCGCCCTGAGTCCCGCAAGGGAGAAGGGCGGTATATAAATCAAATAAATTTGAATTTGAATTTGAATTTTTAAACATTTTAGTAATATTAAAATATCTTTTGATATTTTTCTTCAGTGCTTTTCATTCAGATTGTCCTCAGAATAGTTGTTACACAGCTAGAGGACTGTACTATTTTAGAACATTAGGCTAAGATTGGAAACACTCAGGGTCAGATTTATACTCCTCTAAATCTCAAGATACTCAATGTTATTGGGCCAGTTGCAATTGGTCAGCCTAGTCTATTTTATAAGATGGTTGCAAAAGATGAAGAGAAAGCAGACAGTGGAGTTCTTTGTATGTTGCCTCGCCTTAGGGAGGAAAGACAATATATACATGAAATAAACAAGCAAATAAATAGGCAATGCTGATGGCATTATATTCCAGATGGACAACCCCTTATCCTGTAAAATGATTATTGAGAATCAGATTATTCCATAGGCTTGTCCCTTGGCAGAGTTACTTCATATTAGGATCTTTTTATAGCAGTGGTGGCGAACCTATGGCACGGGTGCCAGAAGTGGCACTCAGAGCCCTCTCTGTGGGCACGCGTGCCATCTCCCAGTCCTAGGCCTTCAGCTTGGTTTTATAAAACCTTTTCGCTTTAGGTGTCCGCCACCGTGTGCAAAAAAAAAAAAAGTTCGATCAGTCAATTTCAATTTCTTGCAGGAAAAAAAAGATCTTGCAAAGTTGGAATTGATTGGTTGAACTTTTTAGTCCCACCCAGTCTGCCATTACCACCGCAGCCACGCCCACCCAATGGGCCACGCCCACCCGGCACTCGATGATGCATAAGTGGGTTTTGGTTTGCAGTTTGGGCACTCAGTCTCTAAAAGGTTCGCCATCACTGTTCTATAGGATCTGGTCAGCAGGGTCATTGCTGGCATACAAGACCATCTTGTGCAGAATTGTGCTTAGTATCCCACAAACAATCTTTTTAATATTAAAAAAATATTAAATGTAGTTATGATTATGCAAGGGTCTCCTTGATCATCGATTTTGGTGGACAATACATACATATAAAGTTGGTGAGTCTGTTGTTGATACTGTATTTCCTCTTTTTTACCTTGCCATTGACCGTATCCCTCTTATGTTGAATTCTTTTGTGGCACAATACACCAAATGATCTTGCTGATAGGCTTAATTTCTACTTATTTCAGTGTATGGAATAGCTAATTTTCATTGTTAGAAAAAGTAATGATATGAAGTTCATTTGAGAAAATGATATTTATTTCTTTAAAGAAAACTTGACAATACTTCAAACCTTGATTTTGTTTGCTCTAGCATTTCTGAAAATTAGTATTCAGCAGTTTTATAGATAGTCCTCAACTTACAATCATTTAATATAATAACAACCATTTGAAATTGCAGTTGGTTTGAAAAAATGATTTACAGCCAGTTCTCACACTTATAACCATTGTAGCACCAAAATGGGCATGTGACCAAAATTCAGACACTTAACAACCAGCATGTTGCGCTGTTGTGTGATCACATGATTATCAACTACTGCCTTCCCAGTAGGATTGAAAAGGAAAATCAGTGGGGGAGTCTGTATTTGTTTAATGACCACATCATTTGTTTAACAATTATGACAAAAATGTTGTAAAAACAGGTGTGCCTCACTTAATGACCATGTTGCTTAGCAGTGTAAGTTCTGGTCCCAAATGTAGTCACAAATTGAAAATTATATAATGATTCCATACGTGTGGTCCTTCTGGTGGTATAAAATTTCAACTTGCAGAAGCTTAAACCAATGTGACCAATAATGAGAAATGCTGAAAATTGTTTTGCCCATCTGCTTTCCAATTCCCTTCAATCAGATCATTTATGATAGAGAAAAAGAACTGTTGCATTTCAGTTGATTTTGTTGGCATTGTTTATTCTCAATAATAGTTCAACTTTATTGACATCACTGTTGCTTTCTAATATTGAAACAACAAAAAAAGAAAGAAAGAGTAGCAAAAAGGAACTTAAAGGACAATAGACTGGAAAATATTGATCAGATTTTAAAAAGAAGAGCAAATATTTTTTCCATTCCCACCCTCCCCAATTTCCATAACATAGCATTACTTTCAAGTAACAAATCAAAATATCTATGTCACTCAAAGTCATCAGCAATTAGAACTGATTAGAATAGCATATAAGCTCAGTAAAAAATGAATATTATTCATGGTTCGGTTTTGTGTGTGTGTTTGTGAGTATATAAACAATTGTTTTTGTTAGATTAAGATCACAGAAATGAAAGTTGAATATATAATGCACTGTAATTTGCTATATATTACTTTCAGTGGGGCTTACTATATAGCATAGACAGTCTAAGCCAGGCCTGTACAATGTATTGAGGGGAGAGGGCTATATTAATACATTAAAAATCAGCTGTTTCTTGCCCCCATCTTTTGGAGCAATCACGGTAGTGAATTTTCTTTTTGAAAAATGCCAACAGTTGCACAAGGGTGCTTTACAGACTGGATGCATCCACAAGCTGTATGCTGTATGTATATGTTTTAGATTCTGTTGAGAGTACTTGCAGAATCGGATTCATTTCCCCTTTATATTAATTATTGAATACTGTGAATAGCACTCCTTTCAATAGTAAATAGAGTGGCAGATAGTCACTATTCATTGGCAAACACCCAGCCAGGCAGTAGGAAGACTGCAAGTGCAATCTTTGCACAATTGCAAGAAGTCCAAAAGTGACCCTTCCTCCCCACCTTAAGCTCTATAGAACCTTAGATATATGTTCCCAGACTTAGGTTGGCAATCTGGGAAGATTTCTGTGTAATAGGCAAAATATAATGAAATAGTGAGCTTCAACCTTACGCATATAGGTCTGCTTACTTGAGCCTGATCCTATTTAAAGTATCAATTTGTTACATCTCAGGTATTAATAACAAGGCACAATCTAGTACATTATTTAATTTTATTTGTTTAAACAAAATAATTTATTTCTATTTTACTTTTCTATTTAATACACATTAATAGGATATTCACGTTTATAATATATACTTGGCAGATCTACAAAATGTTAAAGTAAAATCAGTAGTCAAAAATAACATACTTTTTTTACCTTTTCATGAAAATTGTAGTCATTATTCAAGTATTTATCATTATTTCTCTCATGCTTTTTAAAATGTATCTGTAATAATTGATACATTTAATTCTGCAGGTTACCATTTTACAAAAAGAAGTTATCTGATGAAGGAAAGTATGCTAAAGAAGTTCAAGAATCAATTGCACAATTGGGTAATATTTGATGTAGACATACCTTCCTTATATAGCTTGACCTCGACTTATGATCACAATTTGAAACAGTTATAACTCATTGCATTTGTAAATTGAGGCAGTGGGGTGATTGGACCCAATTTTATGAGATTTTTTTTTGCAGAAATCATGAGTGAATCATTGCAATGTTAAGCAAATCCATATTCATTAAAAATGCAGTGGTTTTAATACAAATCCATTCTTCTGAATTATGCTTTTTGCCAGAAACTGACAAAATATGCTAGAAACTGGCAAAAACCCATCATAAATTGTGTTCATATGACCCAGAGACACTGCAACTAGTTATAAAGGTGAGCTAGTTGTTATTCACCTGAACGGAGAGGCAGGTGATGGCATTTTACAATAGCCAGAAATGCTTTAAGGGAGGTACTGCACCTATTTGGGACTCATCATATTTGGAATGATGTTAAGTGATCATAAATTGAGGACTGTACATCTTTCTGTACAAGAACTCTCTTGATATAGTGCATAATTGACTAATTATTTTGAACTTACAGCACATTGTATTACAGAACATTGTAATAGAAGGAAATTTGTTGAGACATGCATTTCAAAGAAGATTGCCCAAAGAAAATAAACTGCATCCCAAAAATTATTAAGAAAGGCTGTGAGCTATGTTAACTGGGTATCAAGGAAGCAGTAATCCAGCTCATCTAGGAAGCACCAAATTGGAAATGCCACTTGTAAGAGTAGAATTTGCGTCTATTTAGGATTTTCCTAAATATTTTCCAATATTTTCCTATCAGTACTGATGATAAAAAGTGCCCCATTTTATGACCTTTTGCCATGGTTATTAAACAGATCATAACAGGTTAATTTAACAATGCAGTTGTTAAGCAAATCTGACTTCCCCCATTAACTTTTCTTGTCAGAAATTCCCTAGGGAGATTGCAAATGACAATCCCAGAACATGGGATGCTGCAACTCTTGTAAATACATACCAGTTGCCAAGCACCCGAATTTTGATCATATGACTGTGGGGAATGTTATAATGGTCATACACGTGAGAAATGGTCATGTCACTTTTTTCAGTGCCCTTGTAACTTTGAATAGTTATTAACCCGGTGGTTGTAATTTGAGAGGGGGGGAGGGAGGGAGGGAGGGAGGGAGGGAAGGAGAGAGAGAGAGAGAGAGAGAGAGAGAGAGACAGAGACAGAGAGAGAGACAGAGAGAGACAGAGAGAGACAGAGAGAGACAGAGAGAGAGAGAGAATAATATATACTGAGATAATTTCTTCCTCCTTAGAGCTGGAAACAAAACATTGTAACAAAATACTGAAGAAATGCATATAACGTTCATATAATGAATAAAACTCATGCAACAGAATTGGTCATAAAAGTGTATCATAATTTGCCTGTTGTTTCAGGTTACTTGATCAGAGTGCCATGTTCTCAAATAAGAATACAAATATGTAAGTGTATTATTAGCTTTTACCATGCTGATCTATCAGTAAAAGAATTTGAAGGTAAGATTTATTTTACATTTTGATATATCCTAATAAAATTAATCAGTTTATGCAATGTTAAAAATATGAGCAGTCTATATAGTGAATGAGAGGGCAACAAGCTGATTGAGGGAAATCTGTAACATCATGTAAAATACGGATATGTCATATGAAATCTTATACGGTTGATCCATTCTGAAAATGCAAGTAGATAAATAGATACCACTTTGGTGGGAAGGTAGCAGCATTCCATGCATCTCAGCATATAGTCATGCTGGCCAATGATTATAGAAATTGTCTTCTGACAACACTAGCTCCCTTGTCTAAGAAATGGAGATGAGCCAGCCCTCTAGAGTCAGACATTACTGGACAGAGAAAATATTTATCTTTACAATATATTTCAACCATTATGCTTCAGATGCCTGAATGAAATGTCACACAATAAACTGGAAGTGTGATGAAGAAAGATGCATGCAACCACTGTTTCTTTGCTATGGAGAAATGCTTATTTTGAATAAAACTCTGAATTAGATCAAAAATACATTTACTTTTGTTTATTATAAAGTAATAAGTTTAGTTTTACTTTATTACACTACTTATCTTTCTCATATCTTGTTAAATCTAATTATTTTTAAAGAAATTATTGTGTGTATTTTAAATGTAATAGATCAGCCCCATTGAAAATCCATGTATTTCCAACATTGATACATTGGATAGTCATAAATATTTATAATTTTATCCTTATGCAAATATGCAGCTCATCTACAAGATTGCAGTCCCTAGTTTCTAGTATCATTAATGCTTTTGATTATTAGTTCTAATATGAAACAATTATCATACTGCTTAATCTTAAGAGTACATCACATAGGAGTACATCAAGAAAGAGGGCTGCATTCTTGCAGTAGCACTATGCCCTCTTTCTGGGATTAAATCAAGAAATCTGAAAGAAAATATCACTAGTGAGCAATTTTTCATAAATTGGATTTCATATAATTTAAACATAATGATGATGATGATGATGATGATGATGATGATGATGATGATGATGATGATGATGATGATAAAGTTGGAAGGGACCTTGGAGGTCATCTAGTCCAACCCCCTGCTCAGGCAGGAAATCCTATACCATTTCGGACAAATGGCTGTCCAGTCTCTTCTTAAAAACTTCCAGTGTTGGAGCATTCACCGCTTCTGGAGGTAGGTTGTTCCACTGGTTAATTGTTCTAACTGTCGGGAAGTTTCTCCTTAGTTCTAGGTTGCTTCTCTCCTTGATTAGTTTCCATCTGTTGCTTCTTGTCCTGCCTTCAGGCGCTTTGGAGAATAGCTTGACTCCCTCTTCTTTGTGGCAGCCCCTGAGATATTGGAACCCTGCTATCATGTCCCCCCTCGTCCTTCTCTTCATTAGCGGTGTATGTGTCTGGAATAAACAAATCTCATCCCTAAGCATTAGTTATTCTCTCTCAGTATAAAAAAATCTGAGTATCATAGAAGCATAACCCCATATTTAGTGCTAATCTAACAGATCATGGAATATGGTATGCATGGAGAAGGAAATTTAATAACTGTTCTATAAATGCCAGTTTAGCCCTGAAAGGGAAGAAGGCATAAGAAATAATAACATTGCTTTCAAGATTGTGTTATATCTTTTAACGATAAAATAGAGTTCTAATAATTTCCTCTATCTTAAAGGGCTAATAGCTGTATAAATGTATCAAATATATGGGCTGCTGAATTAACCATAGTTTACTTTCAGCATTATGTTTGCATGTATCCCCCTCTCCATTATTATCCTTCATTCTATAGGGAGTAAACAAGCTTAATATATTCATGTTTAATCAAAACTAATAATACAATCAGAAATAATAGCCTAATTAAGTAAAATACACATTTTTTCTGACAATATTTAATTATCAATTCCAAAATTCTATAAAATGTTTATAAATTTGTTTATTTGAAAACTAAGTTAATTGTTATTGTCAGTGATGTTAATGCTTGGGAGTGCAATGTGGTAGTTAAGGTGTTAAACTATGTGTAGTCCTTGACTTACAACAGTTCATTTAGTAACCGTTCAAGAGATCACCTTTAATGACCTTCTGACAAGCAATCAATGGGGAAGCCAGATTCACTTAACAACGTTACTAACTTAAAAACTGCAATGATTCACTTAACTACTGTGGCAAGAAAGATTGTAAAGTGGGGCAAAACTCACCTAATAAATGTTCCACTTAGCAGCATAAACTTTTGGCTCAATTGTGGTTGTAACTTGAGGACTACCTGTAGCTAATGCCATTCTCCGACATGGAAATTAGTTCACCATGAATTCTAGAAGGACAGCAGGATATAAATCTAATGAATAAATAAAATCAGAAACATTTTATTTTGCCGTAAAGTAATTTGATGGACTTCTTCCCATTTTTCTTAATACAGGTTATCAACCTACAAGTGCAAATTATAAAAAGCAGATTGTAGAATTAGGAGGTTTAGCAGAGACTTTGGTTTTATCGCTAACACTTGTTGAAAATCAACTTTCTGAGAAATTATGGATCATTAAAACTTTGCAACATCTTTCTATTTCTGGTTAGTATGATTTATATTTTTAAAATATTGTAGCTAATCCTTGTCTATTTTACTTTCTTTTTCAGTAAAATACTGGCAATTCAAAGGGAGCTAATTATGAATCTTTTTGTATTTCAGAAGCAAATTGTAAACTTATGATGAAAGCTCAAGCACCAAGAATACTATGTTCTCATCTGAATGACATTGACCCCTCTGGGCAATTATTATTCCGTTCCTCAGAAATCCTTTGGAATTTATTAGAAAAAACCTCCAAGGACCAAATTATCGACCAGCTCAGTAACTTGGAATGTGTACAGTTAAGCGTATATATAAAATACTGTATATAAACCTAGATTTTTACATGTTAGTTTATAAATTAGATGCTGGCATTTTTATCTTGTATTTTTCAATACTTTAAAAGTAAAGTATAACAAGCATTTCTTTTACTAATGTTTCATTCTATTTGAATTATTGATATAAAATAAATTATTTTATTATTAACATAATGAAATCAATAGATTATGGACTAACTACTACCTGCCTTCTAAACCTTTGCTATGTAACATTTATTGGTTTATTTGGTGTATTAAACCAAAGAACGAAAAAACATGACATGGAGATAGTGACCACAATTTAGAGGACCAGCTGACATGCAGTGACCACAATTTAGAGGACCAGCTGTAGCTGCCATTTGTCCAACATTATCTTAACTTTGAACAGACACTGAATAAATGTTTTTAAATGAGGACTTAAGTATTTAAAATTTTAATATCTAGGAATGATATTATATTTTCGGTTAGAAATACATAGATATTAAAATATAGAATTATGTTCTTTTACTTAGTGCTCTGAAGGAAGCATTTACTAATCTACTTATACATGGTTTCCGCCATTATGATCGTCAGTTAAGAAATGACATTTTGGTGATAGCTACCCTTGTTGCTCAGAACCCAGGAGCTCCAATGATCGTATGTATACTTGGTTTTGAATTTTGGACACTTAAAACTAAATATTGAGAATTAGTGCCAGCTTTTTTAGTATAGCACAGCCTTTCCTCCCTAAAACACATTTATGTTAACTGGATGTTTTTCTAAATAATTATTTCTTGTCTTAGAATTCTATACTATAAAGAAAAACATAGAATTATATTTTCAGCGATGGCAGTAAAATATGGCAGGCATACTAAAGTCTTATAAAAAAGGTTTATTAAATGATAGGATTTCAGAAGTTGTGACACAGAAGATAAGAAATTAACTACTGTGAAAACAGAATCAACACTGAAAAACTTGTAGAAGAGATAGGAATCTTCTAATCTTGACTTTTTCTCTTACCTTAAAGTGAGTTTCAAATTTTATACCTGATAGCTGTTGCAAAATATTATTGGATCAAATATAATGTTCTCCTTTTTTCCCCTTTTGTGTGTGTGTGTCTGTCTGTCTGTCTGTGTTTGCTTTTATCTTAGTACTTTTATCCTGTATTAAAAATATACTTTCCTGTATCATATTATCATATTTCTGCTACTGTGCATTAGTTTGCATATTAATATTATAGATCTGTTATCCAGCTGATAAAGGCAAGATGAATTTTCTGTACAAAAAAATGCTAAGAAAGTATGAATAATAAAAGCCTGAACCTGCATAATTTTTACTCTTCAGTGAATTAGGAACTAAAGATTGCTACTTCTATATGTTTCTTCTTTTTCTTCTTTGTTATTCAACTGTCATTTTGTATTGTCACATTTTGCCTTGGGCAAACTCTAACGGCAATATCTTCTGGCCTAATATAATTGTTTTGATGATGAGTTAACTCCTTAATAGGTGGTCCATTTCTCAATGATCATAAGAAAGCTTTATTGTAAGTCCATCATTCCAACCAAGAGAAATAAAATGCCTGGGTTTTGTTTTTTTTCTAATTAGTTTTGTATATAAAATTGCCTTTATGAAGACATCATCCATTTTTAAAGGATTCAGGAAATTATATTTCATCTTCAGAATTGGATCTACTCTTTTTTCTTTATCCCAGAGCTTTTGCAATATCACTAAAATTAATAATTCTGTTACTTTTTAAGACCTAAACAAAGAATAATCCTAAATTGGTCCATTTCAAATGTCTGTTAACATTGATTTACAAATGCCATTTTATATTTTCTAAAAAGTAATTTCTATTCATCCATTCATTCCACTGTTAAAAATATTTCCATGTGTTTTAGTCTATTATAAATTTTTAAAATAGCACAAATACAACAGTTTTTGCACATATCTTAACTTTATATGTATGTGTGTTTAGGAAACTGGATTTGCCAAGCAATTAATACTATTTGCCACTTTTGATGAAGGTTAGTATTTTTTAACCATTAACACTATCATGTAAATGTGAACTGTGGATTTTTATTTATAAATTTATAATTCATTCACAGTGAAAAGTCATAACCCTTTGGTAAAAGGTCTTAAGTTTACTTCCTGCTATGAAGACTTTGAGCTGAAAAAGCTGCTGCTTAACATGCTTACTGTACTAGCAAAAGATTTATGTTCTGTTCAGGTAAGTCATAACATAATTGGATGGAATCATAATTCATCAAGACTTTTAATACTATTGTACATGTTTTCAGAGAGTTCTACTAATATGTCTGTAAATACTTATTTGTGTTAAAATTGACAACACTGGTATATGTTCAGCTACTACAACTAAAAAGCTTTGTGCCAGTTATGTCACTTCTAGATGTCAAATTAAATAGACAAATATTTTACCTCAGAAGAATATTATTCTAAAATAATTTTATTCAGTGAGAAATAAATTAACAGTCCAATAATTGTATAAGTTCATAGAGTCAAGTAGGAACACATTATTGTCAAGTACAAAACATAGAATGATAGTTTTAAACAGATTATATCCTGCATATCCACTTCCCTAAGAAAATAAAGGAATACAATAGCAGTATCCAGTGTGTGTGTGTGAGAGAGAGGGGGGGGGAGAGGGAGGGAGGGAGGGAGGGAGAGAGAGAGAGAGAGAGAGAGAGAGAGAGAGAGAATATGGGTGTTGGTTGTAGTTGTGAATGACTGGTACCAGCAGATATACACTTTACATTCATTGTGACATCTATCAAAAGTGGCAAACCAATAGTATACAAGGAGCATTACATTTCAAATTTTACACAAAATATAACTTAAAAACAAGCTTTCTGCATATACTAGCTAGAGAAGGTCAAAAAATATGTGTTATTGTTACACTATTACTATTCAAACTTATTTTTCTTTTCAAATTATATTTTATCTCCTTTCCCTGTTTAGCTGTTGCATGAGGGTAAGGTTATACTGGCTTTGTTTCATTATTTAAAACCAAATGAAAAGGGAGGAGCACTTGATATGTCTGCAGCACAGTATGAAGAATTACAGCTTCTTGCTATTGCTACATTAGCAACAATGGCTCCCTTATTGATAGAAGACTATATGCTGTGCCAAGGAAATACTCGCCTTCTGCTGTTTCTAGAATGGTGTGTGAGCAATGGTGAGTCAATAAAGCAAATTACTTTTAGCTGTGGTGGTGCAGTGGTTAGAATGCAGTATTGCAGACTGTTGTTGTTCGTCCATCGATTTTCGATGAAGACCTTGACATCTTGTGGATTGTGGGCCATCAACGGTGTGTCCGTAGATGGCTGATTAGACCGATGTTAGCACGGAATGTTCTGCCACATACTGAACAGAGAAATGTGGACACTGTTGCTTCAGCATTTGCAGCTCTGGCTTTACAGAGTAACTCACTGCTCACTGCCAGGAGTTTGATGCTGACTGGCTCAAGGTTGACTCAGCTTCCATCCTTCCAAGGTTGGTAAAATGAGGATCCAGATTGTTGGGGACCATATGCTGACTCTGTAAACCGCTTAAAGGGGGCTGTTAAGCATTATGAAGTGGTATATAAGTCTTAATGCTATTGCCATTGATAATGAAATACTGTGATTTTTGATATAGAGCTAAATTTGCTTTTAGGCTGAGAACTGCTTGGTTTCATCCTGCTTGGTTTTCTACATAATTTCTATCCTTATAAGAAAGCAAGAAATCTCACGTTGCAGCATCCCTATAGTCACATGATCAAAATTTGGATACTTAGCAACTGGCATGTATTTATGACAGTTGAAGGGTCCTGGATCATGTGCTTTTGCGACTTGACAAGCAAAGTCAATGGGGAAGCCAGATTCACTTAACAATCATGAACTACCTTAGCAACTGCAACATTTTTTACTGGACAACTGTGGCAAGAAAGGACATAAAATGGAGCAAAATCTCATTTAACAGCTTAGCAGTGAAAAGTTTGGGCTCAGTTGTGGTCACAAGTTGAGGACTACTATATGGAAAATCTTGAAATGAAAAACTTACTAAATTAAGGTAGTACTGTTAAGTGCAATACATAGCAACATTTTCTGAGAACATACTCAGCAAAAATATTTTTTAAAAAATATTATATAAATAGCAAGGAATTTCTGCATGTTCTATGCCACCATGTAGATTTGGAGATTGAAGCCAGATGTACAGCATATTTTTTGCCAGAATATCAAAGAGCCATGATAAAGTCTTCCTTTTTCCTAGGGAGAATATATGTTCAATTAAACTTTAGAATTATAGAATTAGATATTTGATTAAATATTATGGAAATATCTATGCTACAGTAATATAGTAGAGTGCTTATATTTACAATAATGTAATTGTAATTAATAAATTATTCAATATTAATATGAAAGGCCTTATAATCTAATTTGAAATAAAACATATAATTTTCTTTGCAGATCCCTTCTTTACTCAAGGTAATAGTTTCCATGGTACAGGTGGTCGTGGCACCAAACTTGCACAGATGCGCTTCTGCTTGAGAGTCCTGAATCCAATTGTATCTCTCGGTGATGATGCTGTGAATGTTGACCTTTGTGATCAAGGGGCAATTCATCAACTGTTAGGTAACATATATCTGAAATTAATTTTGTTTGATTAACTTAAAGTTGTTTGAATAAAAATAAAACTCAGTTTTATTCTTACTATACTTTAAAACAACATCATTTTTCCTCATATTTTTCAAATGACTGTATTTGTAAGCCCTTTCTAATATACAACACATTTAATAGCAGGGCAATCTTAAACAGGGCATTTCTGGAATCTTCTTGGGGTTTTGTTTGTTTTATTTGTAAAACCAAATGCAGCGAGTTGGTTCAAAAGTAGCATGAATTTACAAAAGACATAAGGGGTATAATTAGAACAGAAAATATTAATTCTGTAATAATAGCATTCTATATATTTTATCTAAAGGTATGAATGCTATTTTTCATATGCGGAGAGCATGATTACAACTTTATATTTCTTCCCCGGTATGTTTCATAGTATTCCATTCAAAGGAATGTTTGCAGTTGGATTAAATTCCTTTCTCTAGTCTCATAGCTTTGAGGATGAGAATTTGTATTCTTCAATATGAAGAATCTTGACTGAAATGCCCTTACCCCTGCCAAGTAACTATTTTGTTCCCTACAATGGAATAATTTTTTGATTTGGAGCTTTAGGCTTCATTATCTTCCTTCATTCCCTCTACTGAGAAATACGAATCCTCAGACAAATGACATTTATATTGGGAGATCTGACTTAGAGGGTGGGCAATTCACAGTTTCTTTGCTCAAGGAGCTTCTGGCTTGTAACATTAGAATATCTATATCTATAGACAGATAGATAGATAGATAGATAGATAGATAGATAGATAGATAGATAGATAGACAGACAGACAGACAGACAGACAGACAGACAGACAGACAGACAGACAGACAGACAGACAGACAGACAGACAGACAGACAGACAAATATAGATATAGATGATATAGATATAGATATAGATATATAGATATGTATATAGATATATAGATATATATATATTGGCAATTTATACAGGTCAATATACAGTACATGGCAAGAACTATCAATGCTATAATTCTGTTTTGTTTAAGATTGAGAACATTGCAAAAGATAAAAATGTACATTGCAAAAAGTAAAATGTTTGCTTTTTCTCAGAGTCTGAATAAAGAATTAATGTGCATGGTTCTTGTTAACATTTGTGTGTTCAAAAAACATACTGAAGGAAGGGTATCAGACTGACATCAATCTCTTAAATCGCATGACTGATTTCTCCAATAGATTGGACAAGAAAAGATAATCACCATTTAATTTTTTGTTTCTCCTAATAAAAATGCTGTATCCTAATACAAACCCTAACTTCCAGTAAGTTTTCCTTTTTACATTAAAAGGTAATATGCATAGGTTTGAGATGTATTAAATTTGCAAAATAATTATGTAATATATTCTACTGATATAATAATTTCTAGTGTAGCAGCCAAAACCATCCTTATTGTTGTTTTCCACTAGGTATCTTAAAAACTACCACAACTAATCATAAAGATTCCGCCCTTGTGATGGAGATTCAGAGTGATCTCTTTCTTATTTTGTCAACTCTTTGTGAAAGTAATCTCCATAGAAAGGTTTGTATTTCCTCACTGACTTCAAAAGTTCATTGTGTGAATTTCTAATGAATAAGAAAGTGAAAAGTGAGCTTATGTTCAAAGTTTATTTTATTATTTTATTTTATTTTTTGATTCTATAGTGTCACTATGCATTTAGTATCACTGAACTGGTATTCCTGAGTTGCTTTTGATGTGACTGGATTTTCAGATAACTTGGCTTTGGGATTGCATTATAACATGAAACAATAAAGATCAGGAGCAACCACATATAAATTGCAAAATATAGTATAACTATTTTTATTTATGTAATTATGTATATAAATGTACACTGGAACGTTTTAAAAGAATCTTGGAGATCGTGTAATGCATCCCTATGCCCATGAATAAATCCATTTTTATAACATCACTGATAGAGGCAATCTAGCCTTTGTTTATAAACAATGTCAGCAAAGAGAATCTATCACTTCCCAAAGCAGAACGTTCTATTCCAGATTCTTTCTGATGTCTACTTGAAGTCTGCTTCTATGTCCCATTAAGTCCATTGCTTCTTACAGCCATTTGTTTAGTAACCATTCAAAGTTACATTGAAAAAGTGACTCATAACTGTTTTTCACACTTATTACTGTTGTAGCATCTCCATGGTCACATGATCAAAATTTGGCAATTGGCATATATTTATGCAGTGTCCTGGAGTCATGTGATCAGCTTGTTGTGACTTTCTGATAAGCAAAGTCAATGGGGAAGCCAACTTCAGTTAGCAACCCCGTTACTAACTTAAAACTGCAGTAATTCATTTAACAACTGTGGCAAGAAAGATCATAAAATGAGGCAAAACTCACTTAACAATTGGCTTGTTTAGCAACAGAACATTTGGGTTCAATTGTTGTAAGTCAATAATTACTTTTATTACATTGCAGGTATGTTTCCTTTCAGTCTTCCCAGGTTAAATATACGTCACACTTCCCATCTTTTTCTCCTGAGTTTTATCTTGTAAATTCCTTATCATTTTGGTTTCTCATTTTTGCTGCAGTATAGGTTTACAGTTTTCAAATCAGAAGCAGATAAAATTGTTTAGGATCCAATTATTATAACATCTCTAAACCTACTGACAGATCTTTAAAGGAGCCCTCTCTTTTCATGGCCTCAGGAAGATATGTTCTTAAGTAAAGGGAATGCCACATGGTCACATCCTGTTACCATCTCTGTAAAATCTCTTATTCCAAATGAATATTTTCCTGAGCCTGCCTAGCTATTGTGGAAGCCCAATAAAAGGCAAACCTCTTGTAATGGATATTGAGAATATGATTATGCCAAATTTGAAGCTTTTCGCTCTTTCATATCCAAATACTACATACCTGCATGCTCCTGTTAGTTAATTACCTTCCTAAAGTATTATGCTCCAAATGGACACAATATTTTAGATCCAGTTTGAGCAAAGTAGAACAGACAGGAACAATTATTTATAGTTCTTACAGAATAATGTAAGTTTCATTATTAAATAGGAGCTCTTTGGATGGGAAGGAGTGGATACCCTTATTCCATTTATGAAGATAGATGCCAAAAATTTCTATAGTGGATTGGGTCATAATCGTCTTCTTTTCTGTGCTCTGGACTGCTTATGGTAAATATAGCTATTTCAAAAATTTTAATCTTTGAAAGAAGGGAGACAGACAGGCAAATTAGTTAAATAAATTCAATGGATCATAAAAAATCAAAAGCATTTTCTTAGTTTAGACTTTAAATGTTTAATTTTAAATGGTTGTGATATTTAATTACTGATTTTTTTTATTTTAGTTTTGTTACTATTAAGAATGGACATGAATTGGTTTTGCTTTAAAATTCCAGCCAACTTTAATCTCCCTGTTTACTCTCCTAGTACAAATATTAAATTCAAACCAGTGCTTTGTACAAATAAGGGCAATATTTTGTAGATCCTTAATAAATGATCTTTCGATATACAGCTTATATCAATCATACTAATAATTTGACTTATGGGAGAATTGCCATAAATCAAGTGGAGCATGTACTTTGCATACAGAAGTCTCAAATCCTGGGCAAAAAAATTCATATATGAAACTGGAGTGCTTTTAAGAATTATGTGGCAATATAGATGGAAGTATAGACAGGGCCAGGATCTCGGGAGAAAAAGAAACACATTCAGGGACACAAGCTGATATTAGACATTTCTTCACATTTATATTCATATATATTTACAGAACATATATACACATGCATAAGTTTAAACCAATATTGAAAGCTTCAGGGAACATAGCAGAAAAATAAGGAAGCAAAAGGGAAAACACAGGGGAGCACATAGGGATGACATCAGACATTGTCAAGGGGGAAGTTGGAATAAGCATTTAGGAGAAAGTTGAAATGGTGGAACTCAGTGAGAAGGGATGAGGAAGGAAATGCAGAAGAGAGCAAAGGGGAGGCTGGGAGCATTGCAGGATAGTAGAGTCTACCAGGAAGAAGAGGGACAGATCAGAAAATACAAGTAGTCCTTGCTTAATGACCCTAACTGGACTGGAATTTCCATTGTTAAGCAATGCAGTCCTTAGGACAGGGCCTCATGCTTCTGCCCTGCTGTGCTCACCTGAAATTCAACAAGTCCCACTCTCCTTATTTCTGCCCTTTTACTGCCCTGGATATGAAAAAATGTGGGAGGGAGGGAGGGAGGTGGAGCATACGGATCAGAAAATATATGATCCACATACTTTTTGCATTCTTGCCTTCAATCCTAGGTTGGTACTATAGTGCCAATAGCACTGGGTTAGCTAAATCATTGATGCTATATAATAGAATATATGTTTTTGAAAATAAATTAAATTTTTGAGATTAAATGTTTGCCAAATCAGGCTGTAGTAGTTTAATGTCAGCCACAGCAATTCTTAATAAAACATTATTAAATAAAATGTGAAAATACCTTTTCTTTATTTTGGACTTTGTATATGATTAATTATATTAGAAATTCTCTCCCTTTGCAGCTTGTTAGTGAAAATCATTCATTGAAAGTATAACGTTTAAATTGAAAGCATATCCTACAAACTGAAAATATTTTTTTTTAAGGTGCTGTGTCATGGGTTGCACTATTTTGGAAGACTATTTTCTTGAAAAAGAAGGTCTCTTCACTCTATTAGATTTGCTTTTAGTAAGTAGTATTATTTACATAAAAGTAGACAAAAATATTGACTATATTTTACTGAATTTTCTCAAAGTATATACGGTCATCAAAATATTATTTTAATAAAGTAATTAATATTTCTTAATATTACAGTTAACATATTTTAACTTGTGCATATATATGACATCTACATTAATGTAGTATAAAAGACTATGTGTTTTAAAGAAAGTACCCTATAGCAAACTACATAAGAAAAAAAGAGGGGAAATAAAGGCAAAACCAGAACAGGAACATAAAACCTCTTATAAAAGAGCAAAACTAAACTAAAGTCAGAAAAAGCCCACAAGTAATTTATACCTAATTCTAAATATGAAAAGAAAAAGATAGATGGGGAACTCATCAAATTTGCAGATGACACCAAAGTGGCAAAAATAGCCCACACTCCCGAAGATAAGCTTAAGATACAGGAGGATCTTGACAGACTTGAACATTGGGTGCTATCTAACAAAATGAAATTCAATGATGAAAAAAGTAAGGTTCTCCATTTAGGCAAGAAAAACCAAATGCACAGGTATAGTATAGGGAGTACCTTGTTCAAGAGTAGCAACTGTGAGAGGGATCTTGGAGTCCTAGTGGACAATCACTTAAATATGAGCCAGCAGTGTGCTGCAGCTGCCAAAAAAGCCAACACAGTGCTAGGCTGCATTAACAGAGGGATAGAATCAAGATCACGTGAAGTGTTAATACCACTTTACAATGCCTTGGTAAGGTCACACTTGGAATACTGCATCCAGTTTTGGTCACCACGATGTAAAAAAGATGCTGAGACTCTAGAAAGAGTACAGAGAAGAGCAACAAAGATGATTAGGGGACTGGAGGCTAAAACATATAAGGAACGGTTGCTGGAATTGGGTATGTCTAGTCTAATGAAGAGAAGGACGAGGGGGGACATGATAGCAGCGTTCCAATATCTCAGAGGTTGCCACAAAGAAGAGGGAGTCAAGCTATTTTCCAAAGTACCTGAAGGCAGGACAAGAAGCAACGGGTGGAAACTAATCAAGATGAGAAGCAACCTACAACTAAGGAAAAATTTCCTGACAGTTAGAACAATTAATCAGTAGAATGACTTGCCTTCAGAAATTATGGATGCTCCAACATGGGAAGTTTTTAAGAAAACCATTTGTCTGAAATGGTATAGGGTTTCCTGCCTGAGCAGGGGTTTGGATTAGAAGACCTCCAAGGGCCCTTCAAACTCTGTTATTCTGTTAAATTCTTTACATATTAAAATATTCTAGAGTTTGTAGATATAGTTTAATAAAAAATTAATATTTTAACCCTTAGGCTTTTTTTCTAAAAACACAATTAACCACAGTTATCTAAATAATGGCATTATAAGAAATACAGGTAGTCCTCAACTTACAATCACAATTGAGCCCAAAAATTTTGTTTTGGGCTCAGGTGTTAAGACATTTGTTAAGTGAATATTGCCACATTTTACCATTTTTCTTGCCAAAGTTGTTAAATGAATTCCTGCAATTGTTAAGTTAGTAACATAGTTTTTAAGTGAATCCAGCTTCCCCATTGACTTTGCTTGTCATAAATTTGCAAAAGATAATCATATGACCTGGGGACACTGCAACTGTCATTAAATACGAGTCAGTTGCCAAATGTCTGAATTTTGATCACATGACATAATTGTGAAAAAGTGTCATAATTGTGAAAAAAGGTTATGTCACTTTTTTCAGTGTTGTTGTAACTTTGAATAGTCAGTAAATGAACTGTTGTAAATCAAGGACTACCTGTATATAAGTCAGGTAAAATAAATAATTAAGTCAATACAGTCATAGCATTTACCAAAGTTGCTTAAAATTGACTCCATGTCTAGCATATAAGGCTCACCTTTTTAAAATGTCTTAGGGAGTCTAAGAGAATATTTTGCTGAAATGATTTGAATTTTTAGTCATAAGAAATATATTTAACATTGCTTTAAAGCCTAAAGCATTTATTGGGAAATATAGGATACTCTTGTATATTGTCTAAATTGAAATTTGTTTTTTTAAATCGGTAATAAATTGTCAGTTATCTTACTAAAGACCTTTTCAAATATTTTCAATGCCTCTGATATTTCAGAGAATGCAAAGTAATTGAGTTCAAACAATGTATTTTTACATTGTTTGAACCCAAAACTTTACAGAAATTTAACTCTATTACTTTTTCAACTATTTTAAATAAATTCTCAGTTAAGAAAATGTTTTTATTCAGATACTCTAGGAGCATTTTATGTTAATCAGTAAAATAGTTTTTATAATGATTGCTTAGATGTAAAGCTACCATTTTTCAATTCTAATACTGTCACAGTAGGAGAGTAAAAAGGGATGAAAATTACACAGTCAGATCTATTCCTATTCTGTCCCAAAGTAATGCTGTGTTATAGAAATTATAAATTTAGGAGTGCCAGTGTGATGTAATGGTTGAGTTTTTGGACAAAGATTAGGGATATCTAAGTTCAAGTCCAACCTCAGCCATTGAAGGTGACTGGATAATTTTGGGCTGGATTTTTTGCTGGGGGGAAAATAGGAGAAGGGATTCCTGTCTACATTGCCTTGAATTCCTGTGCAAAAAGTGGGATATAAATCAAACAGATTAATTTCCTTTAAGAAAATATGTCTTGAACGCATGCAATCGTGTTAAATTTATTAAAATAATACTTTGCAGAAACAATTGTTCATTCTATTTGTATGCTTTATTCAAAACCATATAACTGTGTTTCAGAAAACTTAGAATTCTTAAAAAACATTATTCCCTAAAATGGAGTAAAGGATCTAAGTAAAAGTTTTGTTAGGACTTAAATTATGTATCACCTATTATTGTCAGAAAAAAGAAGACTACATACAGGATTGAAGAAAAAGCAAAAATGTCAAATATCCAATCAGCACTGAACTGATTTTTAATAGGATTACTTTCATAGTTTGAACATACTTGTGAAACAGTGAAAGTTAGAAACTTGCAATTAACTTTTCTAAAATTGGGACAAATATTCTTTGGAGTTAAAATTTTCCAGATATTATGCATAATACAATGCCCTTAAAATTAAAAAAATATATTAAAAGTTTTGTATGTAATTTTGAAACGTATTTTTCATTTTTCTATGCATGGTAATAAATTAAAGATTTCAAAAAATATTTGTTTCATATATCCCTAATATACTTGTTTCATACACCCTAAAATAAACACTATGTTATACATTTCAACATGAATTTAAAATTCTATGGTCTCATAATTTCAGGTTACAGAGAGCTTCTCATTCACTTCATTATTATGGAATACCTTTATGTTAAAATATTCTATATATTTGAATTCCTGTAGTTAATATTGGTTAAATGGTAATAATTATTTTTAAAAATATTTTAGGTCTTTGGTTATTTCATTCATAACTTCCTTTCTTTCCTGTTTTTTTCTGTAAAGTTAAATCAAAAGAATGTATGTAACCTAATTCTTGGAATATTAGTTGAATTTTGTGATAATCCTAAAACTGTATCCCACATCAATGTTTGGCGAGGGAAAAAAGACCAAACAGCAGCTAATTTGTTAATAAACTTATGGAGACAAGAAGAAGAAGAGATGGGAGTGAAACATGATAAAGCTGGAAGAATTGTTGGTAAGTATTGGTCCATGGTATTTTACCTCATGAACAACCATAGTGTGAAGCAGTGGTGGGATTCAAATATGTGAACAACTGGTTCTCTGTGTGGATGTCGCTTCCAGAAGTCTATTCTGGGCCTGGGCAACAAAAAATTAGCTACCAGTTCTGCCAAAGTGGTGCGAACCGGCTGAATCCTACCACTGGTCTGAAAGCAATCTTAAGTTTTCAGTTTTTCTTAATCCTATATAGATACTTCTGCTATGACTAAAATTGTTTTTAATGCTTTGATGTTAGAAGAAACGTGGGTAAGTCAGTCAATAGAAAAGCTGGACAGGAGAAGGCTTGATCTGCAGTTAACCACTGGCAAAAATCACTTGAACGCATCAACTTATGACAGCAGTTCCAATATCAGTTATTAGGCAAATTACACAGTCATTAAAAGCAATGTCACATGATCATGACTTCTGATTTCTTCCCGGGTTCTCCATTGCATTTGTTTGTAGGAAGCTGGCAGTGAAGATTATAAATAGTGATCACCTGACTGTGGGATACTACAACTACAATAATTGTGCACTAGTTGCAAAGTGTCCAAATTATAATTGTAATTGCAGGGGCATGTGGCAGCTGCGATTTTGAGGGCCAGTCCTCATTTGGTGCTGTCATACCTTCAAACGGTTGCTTCAATGAGCAGTAGCTAAACAAGAACTACTTGTACCAGAATCATTGATTCATTTATCATATTTATATGGCCATCCATTTTTTTATGAAAAAGTCACCAGGTAGCATATAGTAAAAAACACAAAACAGTAATATAAAAAAACCCATCACCAAATCTATAAAATTTAACATTTCTGATTAAAAAGCAAAGAGCAGGCAGCAGGAATTAACAGAATGGAAGCACCCCAGCAACTCACATGTTTTCCACTATAAACGTCTGTAGACATCTGGACTATTATTAAAAGTCATAGTTCATATTTGAGGAAGATGGACAGCTACAAAATATAAATAAATAATACATAAATGCATATATACTTTATCTATCTATCTATGGCTGAACTTGAGAATTGTGTTGTGCTTTAACTACAGTTAGTGAAATCAGAAACAGGATGAACTTCCTGAAAATGTACCAGTATATTATTTAAAAAAGTAAGAACATGCTTTTTTCCATGATTTGTTTACCATGAAATAGCATTTGAAACAGAAATTGTTTTTCATAAACATCATCAGTTTCCTAGAAAATAATGATTTGTACCAGTGAAGATAATATAGAGATCAGAATGTGATACAATAAATATGATTCCTAACAAATGTTCTGTTATTTTTCTGCAACCAATTACATAGGTTGAATTTATATTTGGACATTAAAATCATATATTACCTCAATCATTAAAATAGAGACAACATTGTTATAAATATAATATGATGTTGTTTTTTTTAAAAAGCTGGAAAGTTTTTGAATAATATGAAATCTGCTATTAGAAGAATTGATGTTAAATAACTTCACAATAAAATTTACATAAATATATACTACTGCTGTAGTAATGGCTGAAAATGTTTGATTGCAAACAGGGCTCTTTTTGTCATAGAACACCCAGAACAGAGTTCCGGCACCTTTTTTGGATGGAACCTTGTAGGGTAGGAAAGGTGGGTTGTATGACATCTGTGAGTTCCGGCACCTTTTTTTTATTATTACAAAAAAAGCATTGATTGCAAACATTTATAATTCTTTGTTTATATACTATTAAGAAATATGGACAGTTGTGAGAATTTTACTGTTTTTGCAGATCCTTCCATACTGATATGTCTCACAGAGGTTTTATAAGTAAAGCAATTCCAATTTTCATCATATAATATCTGCATTAAGAAATTATTTCTGAAATTTTTATTTTTAAAAAAATACAGGATGCAGTTACATTTCACTAAAAATATTACAGTTGTTGTAGACCTTTTAATAAGTGTTTTTTTAATGCTATAGATACAAAGAAGCCACTAGTTGGCCAGTTCCAAAAAACACAAGAAATAATTCCAATGCCTGCTAGCTGTCCCACTATTGCTGTCATGGATGTTGCTGAAAATATGAGGGCAAAAATTTATTGTCTAATATGTAAATTAGGTAAGAGCCATGATTTTGTTTCCAACAAATTGCTTTTCCATGTATTATAGATGATGAATAAAAGTAACAGAAAACAATTTGACACAAGCTAACATAAAAAAAAACAATTGTGAGGAATATAGTTAAGTTGCTATTACAAAACATTAGTAATAGAATTGTGAGTAATTGGTCTTGAAGATGCTTCTGTATATTTAATATGTAAAAAAGAGGTTCTGCAAATACAGGTAGTCCTCAAGTAACGATAGTAATTGCAACTGGAATTTCCATTGCTAAATGATGTAGTTGTAAAATGTGGTATCATGTGATGTGTCACTTAGTGACAGCAATCCCTATTCCAATGTTATCTGAATCCTACCAGTCATTGGGTAAAATTCCATCCCAACCCATGGCATTCCCAGCTTGGGAATCTCAAATCTCAGAAAGTAACGGACTGCCACCTCTTCAACTTCCTCACCCATCTTTATGTCTTATTTTTTAGTTACGCTACAGAGTGGCATGCAGCAATGACATGGCTGATAGGGCTGAATAGATGCCCAGAACTTCAACAATCTCAGCTGGACATTGTTGCCTTTAGGTCTCTACTTCAGCCTCAGTCACTGCTAGCTGCCTCAGCAGAAACCTTAGTATGGAAATTTGGAAGGCCTCAGAAATATTGTGAGAAGTATTGCCAGAAGGCAGCACTCAGTCTGGAAAAGAATACACAAGATTTGGAGATGAACATGCACAGCCTTGCAAAGAAGGCCTGCCATGGCCTGCAGCTGTTCACACAGGGCCAGGATAGACATACCTTGTTAGGAATAGGAGAAAGAAAATGGCAGGATGGAGGTAGCAAGGCCTGCAGAGCACACAGCATTGGGGGCAGCTGTTACTTTGTGCTCTGGCATTGGAGTGGCTGACCACAGTTAGGGCTTGAGGCAACACTCCTTGGTGGTGGTACTCCTTTCATGTTGGCTTGTGCTGGCAGTACTGAGACTGAAGTAGTGGCCTAAGATGGTGGAGGCTGGCTGAGATTGCTGAAGGCCCTGGGTCTCTACTTCAGCCCTTGTGCCGCTGTCACTGCCAAGAAGTCCACTGTGCGGTGCAGTCAAAAGAGCAGATAAGGGGTGGGAAGAGTTAAAACACATGAGTTCTGATTACATAACTTCAAAGACCAACCATTAAGTATCATCCAGTGTTTCTTGATGGGAATAATTTCATTTTGCAAATGTGTGCATTATACATAAATATTAGACAATGTTAATCTTTAAAATATAATGATGCTTTAAAAATAACAATTGATACATTACTTCAGGTTTTGAAAACTTGCCTGGACTCTGTGCAAGGGATTTTGTTACACTTGCTATTATACGCAGGTACCTAGACTTCAAGGTAAGTAGCGTAGCTTTTCATCTATTGTTTCATTGGTGCAGTTAGTAGATGTGGAGAAATGTATCTTTATTTCATCATTTTTAAATTCCCAAAACTATTTTAACTTTAAAAAAATAACTTAGTATTTGCTTCCTACATTTATTAATATACAGTAGCTTTCTCAGTGAATTAACACTTGACCTATATTGTTTGAAAGTATGATCATAATATCATTATTGGTAAAAACTAGAAAATATTTTAATGTTTTTTTCACAAACATTTCTAATTCGATATTAGACATCTGAGTCTGTTAATTTCATATTTGATATTATAGTTTTTTAGGTGACCTGTAACAAAAATGAAAAAAACAAATGTAGATTGATGTAAAGTAAAAATCTACGGATCTAACTAACCTTCAGAAACTTGATCAATTAAAGGAACTGCTTACTTCAGTGCATCTGTCAGTGGGCAGACATGTCAAACTCATGACATCGCGCGACATATCGGAGCTTTTTCTCCATTGCCGGCAATGGGATGGGCACGGTTTCCTGGTGATGCGTCTGGCCCATGGGCCGGCAGTTTGACACCCTAGTAGAGCAAGAGAGCATCATTGTATTCATCTTTCATACCATAATCTTAAAAGCTCGAGTTACAGTGGCACACAGGTTTTTAAAGAACTGCTGAGTTTTGCTTTCCAAAATTTCTTGAAAAATATTCCTTGACAAATTTGTCCAATACTACTTGGATAATGAACAGTTTATTGGTGTGGGGAGGGAAATTAATATGATACTGATATTTTAAAACACCTCATTTGTTTATCATATATAAAGGTTGGTGAGATCTGGGATGAAGTATGTGCAGAACTTAAAAAAGAAAAATTTAGACCAGTGACACCTGATCAGGAAGCATTACAACTTATTACTGAAGCCCTTGAAAACGTTGGAAAGATTGTAGTCTCTCTCCAAACTGAGATGCTAGAAAGCCAGCAGTTTCAGGAACTTCAGGAGGAGGAAAAATGTTATGGGAGGGTAAGTTTGTGACACAATAATTTATTTAGAAATAACTGTTATAGCTAGTTAAAACGTTACTTCTTTAATGCCATGGCAGTTTCATGGGACATATATGTAATATACTACATGAACTTTAGACATGAGACTATTTGCAGATATACAGTGACTTGAACTTTATGCTTTGCTAAACAATAAGCTAAGATTTTCTTTAAATTCTTTTTCCATTAAAAAGACTTCTAAAAAAATGAGAATGTTTCCTTCTCCTGTTTTCCATTCTAGATTCATTCTCTCCATAAACAAAAGGAAATGGTCAATAAATCTTGGGAAAATTTCTTAGCTCGCACATCAAATTATGAGGCTCTGAAGGTAAGAAAGCTATTCAGTAGACTTTACTAGGGATGATAATATATTTCAAATTCATATTTCTGTAAGTAACTGAATTAATAGTTTACTGATGAAGCCATTGCACTATTAATCATTTTAAAACTATTTTAAAAATAGATTTAATATTAAGAATATGAAAAAGCATGTTAAGAATAGGCAGTGAATAAATAAGAATTTCTATAATATGGACATAAGAATTCCTTTGATTTTTGTCATAGTTGTTGACAGCGTGCAGTTATTTTATGTAGCATGCTTTACATGTAGCATAACTATTTACATAATCACATCACTTTGGTTCAGGATTGACACTTAAAAAAGCATGGTTTGAAATATTCTATGTATCATTCTGACATTAAATTTCTCATTAACAAAACCTAATTTATTATGAACTTAAATGTTTCCATTTTTTTCCTAGAAAGCAAAAAGACTTCGAGAAAAATCTATAGAAAATTCTAGACCAAAGATGAAACACTATAGTGCAACTTTCCATCCAACTGACATTAAAGGCCTAAATACAACAGTGAGTAAAATTCTTAATTGTTCATTTCTAATCCAAATTAAAGCAATTAATTTTTATTTTATTATTTATATCCTACTTTTATTATTTTTACATATAACTCAAGTCACACTTTCTTCCTATTTTCCCTCTGACAACAAACCTCTTAGGTGAATGTCTATGGAGATTTTCAGTCATCCAGGTCATGGTTGTCCCAAAGGTGCTTTTTCAAGAGGCAACTGGACTTTCTTGTTTTTCTTTGAAGACGTTTCACTTCTCCTACAAGAAGCTTCTTCATAGTTGAAGTGAAATGTCTTCTAAGAAAAATAAGAAAGTCCATTTGCCTCTTGAAAAAGCTCCTTTGGGACACTTGTGAAGTGCGTTGGGCTGACAGAGAATGACTGACCCATCCATCTAGCTTTTGTGGCCAAGGAAGCACTCTGAAGGTCTCCCGTTTTCTAGCCTGGTGTCTTAACCACGAGACCAAATTGATTCAATCAAATATTTAAGATTTAAACCCCTGTAAAACATTTTGTATTACATTACCATAAAGCAGGATAATTCTGCAAATAAAATATTCAAACTTATATTAAAATTATTTTTTTCAGATAAACCATAAATATGCCAAAATATTAACTATATGATTCTACTATGCTCATGGCCCTATGGAAATTTAAGGAAAGCCTATTGCCATTTTATCAATGATTTTTTTGAAACTACAGTAGTATGAACCTTTTTTTCAGCAAGGCATTTCCAATATACATTTAGTATGTTAAAATAATTGTATTGAAACTGAATTTTTATTCGTGTTATAAATTGGATGGTTTAAAAGTATTAAATAATTGGCTTTGGTGCAAATGACCTCTAATATTTTTCTGTCTATGATTGTTGTAAAAGATTTTGATTTGAACATTAAATATCAATCAGGATATAGATGTGATTAGATACATATGTAGTGGTATTTTTGATTCTTTCTAACATACATAGATACACACATACACACAAAAAATACAATCTATTGGATTACATACTGTGAAAGTAAGCAGAATTTATAAGACTTCTACATGGAGGGAAGTGTGTAGTGGGGGGTCCCAGTTCTCTGTTCTGGGCCCAGTGCTCTTCAACATCTTCATCAACAATCTAGGCGAGGGGATAGATGGGGAACTCATCAAACTTGCAGACAACACCAAGCTGGCAGGAATAGCCAACACTCCAGAAGACAGGCTTAGGATACAGGAGGATCTGGACAGACTTGAACATTGGGTGCTATCTAACAAAATGAAATTCAATGATGAAAAAAGTAAGGTTCTCCATTTAGGCAAGAAAAACCAAATATACAGGTATAATATAGGGGGTACCTTGCTCAATAGTAGTAACTGTGAGAGAGATCTCGGAGTCCTAGTGGACAATCACTTAAATATGAGCCGGCAGCTGCA